CAAACTTGCTCCAATTTGTGTTCACAGATTTTAGTTTGAAGGTTTCTTTTTTATAGTATGATTTTCCTATCGAATCCCCAGGTATCATCTCCCACTTGGATCTCTATTTTGTCGACAAGATTACAAGAGGCGAAAGCTTGGTCAATGTTAGATTTAAAATCATGTTTAGAACTGACACGAGTAATAAAATTGTTATCAAGCAAAAAAAGATTGCTTTTACCAACACTGTGATCAAGTCTTTCACCGGTCTTGTCTGTATCTTGACAATTCCAACTCTAACTATGCTAATTAAAATGGCCTATGAAAATAGTATAGATATTGGGTTCAACTAAATCAATAATTTGATTCCATTCATCTTGAGATAAAGTTAAGATATCCCTAGATAAAATTAGTTTAGCCTGGTCAAGTACTAACTCTGAGTGAACACCTCAGTGTATGCCTAATTATTTTTTTGACTCCCATTTTGATTGTTCTGGATTTAGTATTGCTTTGGAATGTAAAAATAATCATTCCTCTCCTGAGTTAGATGTTATTGATTTCAAAATCCTTGAGGCTCTACCGATTCAATTTAATCTAATTTTGCTAGATATTTTTAACGGGATGTATAATACGTCCTACTATCCATTTGAATGGAGGAAAGTGTTCTTTTAATTTATTGACAAACCAAATTGACAGTATCAGACCTATAACTCCTACGTCTTGCGTTTGCAAGTTATTTGAAACGCTTGTTAAAAACCGGTTGCAATAGTAGGCTGAACATAATGGCATTTTTCATCACAGGCAATCTAGCTTCCGAAGAGGGAAATCTTGTTATAATAAATTATCTAATCTCAAACTAACTATTTAAAATGCTTTTTTGAGTGAGGAGAGTATTTGCGGCTTTCTTAGGTGTTTAATAACGTTGACAGTGACATTCTTCTTTCCAAACGTGCAAAAATTAGTGTGTCTGACAAAACAAATCAAATTTATCAAACATTTAACTAAAGAAAATGCTTCTTTGTTTCGTATTATCAATAAGGGTGTCCCTCAGGGAGGAGTTTTAAGTCCTCTTTTATATTTACTGTAAGTATCTGAAATTGTTAATAATATTCCTGGGAATGTCGAAATTTCTTAATTTTTCGATGATATAGCTTTATTTGTTAGCTCTAATTCGATTAGGAAAGGACCTTCAAAAATTGAAAAAGCTATTGAAATTATCAGATCTAATCTCTTCGATCTTGAACTAGAACTCGTTCCTCATAAGACAGGATTAGTTCATTGCCATAAGAGGAAAATACAACCTAGGAATTTTAATATTAAGGTTAATGATATTATTAAATCAAGTGCTAGTGCAAGCTTTCTTGGAATTTTCGTTGACTATGACATTTCCTTTGACACTCATTTATGCGAAACACTTAAAAAAAGTAATAAATCTTAAAACATTGTAAAATTTTTGTGTGGTACTTGGTGGGGTGCTGACCCTGAAATGTTATTAATTTTGTCTAGGAGTTTTGTTCGATCCATGTTGGACTATGGGTGTTTTATATACATGCCGACTCAGAAAGCAAAAGCGGATAAAATATAAAAAATTCAACTCTCTGCTATTAGACGTGCATCGGAGTACAGAATATTTACTCCAAAAAATATTCTTCTTGCTGAGTCCAAGCTTACATTCATCCGGGAAAGGGCAAATCTCCTATGTAACATGTTTGTAACAAAAATTGCAATGAGCTCATGTTCTATGCTATCGAATAAAATTTTCGAATTCAAAAAAACATGCTCCAAACATAAAAATAAAAAAAAATCTATTCTTAGACAGTGTGTTGAGGCTCTTCCTGACCATAATTTTATCGTGTTTGATCAATTTCAGAAGTCTCAAATTGTCCATCGAATGTCTCTATCCTCGACATAGACACCCACTAAGAACGGGTTTTGACTAAGTCCTATCTCAAATATTTTTTTCACTGATCATTAATAATATATCAATACCAGCTAAAACTCACCTGTTGGTATCGTAACAGTTGCTATAGTACCCGCTACTATGATAAATATCACTATATGATCTTTTTATCTATGGGAAAAAATCAGCAACAAAAAAAATTTTTTTAAAAATGTATGTATTTGTTGAGAATTGATTAATTCTCAGTTTGAATTTGCTAGCTGACAGGAACTTCGGTGGCCATCTTGGGACTGGATCGATAACCAATCGACCAAATAATCAATATTTCTTAATCTAGTCATTCATTTGACTAATTTTCAGTGTCCATTTTGACTAATGAAGTTCCTGTCGCCATTCTTTCAATATTTTCGTTCACGTGTACACGCCATTCTAATGCTTTTCGGACAATCTTGAAGTTTTGAGTCAGTCATTAGTGCTAGTACTATTCTAAATCACCAGAAACATTCAAGCTTCATTCTACAATCAAAATCAACTAACATTTCAAGATATTTCATAGTAAATTCAAAAAATTTCATTAAATTCATTTTGCATTGCATTGATAGGTTAACTCCACGTGCACAATCATATTCTTGCTCAACTCGAAAAGCGTGCTGAGCTCGTGTGGGAGGTCAATAATACCGAACACACCGAGTTGAGTGCTTTTTAGACCTTCAATTAAAATTCAGTAATTACAATTGACATTCAGTGATTTCTAAAGACGTTCATTTCTTGTATTCAGTGACAAAAGTTGTACAGTGTATGTTGTGTATCTGTTAGTGCTGAAAATAAAGATTCTATATTTTTTATAACACCTGACTTCCGTTTGCTCTGTTCTGGCACAATCATCCCTATCCTTGAACGGTTAGGTTAATTCAAAAGTTGAGATTTTCTCAACAGTATTTCTCAAGAAAAGTTTGAATTTCTTAGTATCAGGAGAATGAAATGAAAAGAATTAATGTGGTTATAAATAATTGGAGAAAATGGCATATAGTACATTCGATAGTTAATTTATGGTTACAGTTAATATGTCGTAAATCCCAGCGGTAAGATGTTAATGAAAATATAACGTTGGTAATGCAATAAATAGAGATTATTACACAAAAAATATGCATTCTATAAAACACATAAAAATTACGTCCTATAGAGCAAAAATGTTTTCTAATAATCAATATAATAATTGATTGAAAATTCATAACAATATTTTCTATTGTTAAAAAATGTATGTTTTACTTTTCTGTTAGTCTGCAGAGCCAGTTTTTGATTTCTTTATGAAGAAAAAAATTCAATATAAAAATGTCTTTTCAAAAGAGAGAAAAATATGATATTTCAATGAGACATTTTTGAATGCAAAAAACATAATTTATAACAATTTTAAATATTTTCTAAATGCACAAACTGAATAAAATACAAAACTTTCTTACATACAAAATTCATCTATCGTACATCCAGAGAAATGTTCAATATTTGTTCTGAAGAACTCGGAAAAGTAATCTGAAACGTTGTCGTAATTGGAACATACTTTTTCAGAAAGATTCAGAGTCAATCAGAAGGAAAAATTTAGAAATATAGAGTTTTCAGAGTGATTCTGAATAAATAAACGATAATCAGGAAAATAAAAAGTGAAATTTTTGAGATTTTCAAAGAGTTTCAGAGTAAATCAAAATTAAATATAGAATTTAAATTTTAACATTTCAGGATATTTAAGAAACATGCGCTAGTAAATTTTATGGGTTCTTAAATTTTTACAGTTGTGTTTATTAAAAATTTTTCTCGACATTTATTGAAAATTGTTGAAGACATTTTGATTTTTGTACTACTTCAGTTCAAATTTTGCTAAGATTTGTGACTTTCAACAAGATTACAGTGAAAAAACCATAATTTTTGTTGAAATTTTTTCTCTGTGTAGGTACAACTGACCAATTGAGATCGGACTCCTAATCGTATGTTTACGGCCTCGGGCTAGCTGCGGGTATTCCCGTGCCTTTTTCAAAATGTCTGACAGCAACTTTAAACCAACATTAGATAACCAGCAATTAAGTCGCTTTCAGCACATCTAAGATTCTTTATTTGGCTGAGCTAATATCTTTCATGATCTAGACTACCAGTTAGTCTATTGATTCACATTATTAGAGTATAATCTTTTTTTAGGTAAATCTAAATGATTTACACAATTTATGAATTCATCAATTAAAATGTATGTAATGGATTTTATGCTTGTAAAGCATTTGAGTAAAAGTATTTAAAAATAATCTACTTGAATACTTTCAAGGTATTTGTATTTATATACAAATTTTTTTTTATTTCGCAAATGCATTATCAAAACTTTCGATGATTTTTTCTATCTGATAACAATTTATAAACAGTTAAACTCAACAGAATTTATAATGAAGAAAAAATCATTCAGAAAGTTGTTATAACACAAATATATCCTCAGATAGAAAATCCCGAGCTAAGTATTTGTAGTTGTATCTAAAAATTAATAATAATTTAAAATTATTTAGACTTGAATTAAATAGGGATGAGGAAAATGCCTAAAAAAATTTTCATTATAATTGAAACTTAATAATATGTTTATTTTTTCGAATCAAGATGGTGGATATAATACTAAATCCATCCATTATGTAAATACAACGAAATTTTTGTTTCTCTTGTAGTCTGCTAAAAATCGTCATGATAGTGCCAAATTTATTTGTAAGAACTTCATTTGAAACCCACAGTTGTAAGAATCACATCCTTTCAAAACACTATTTTTCGGGGCAATAAATATTCGTAGCAATACATAATTTATAGAAATATAAGGGTCAATAAAGTACGTTTTTCGTTATTTTATATGATCAGGATTCTGTGAAATGCGGTATTCTACATTATTCATGATAATAGACGCTAGGGATTTTAAATTTTTCAGTCTATTACTAATTCAGGATAAGTTTGAACAGAGAAGTTTAAAAAAAGGAAGAAGAATTCTAAACGATTCTTCATCAGTAATCTGAAGTTAAATAATCAAAAGATTATGATGGATGAATTTTTATCATTAGTTATAGCGACAATTAACTTTGACTTAGATATAAATTTTTTTACTAACCTACAACCAAAAGTTGTTTGAATGAATGTTACTATCCCTGTGACGAAAATCATCGTTGAAATTATATAACTACGAGTAGGATCATCTTCTGCCATGCATAAAGCAGGTGTTAAAATGAACGGAATAGATACGATTGCTCCAATCATTGTCAAATAATGCTACAACAGTAATACAACGATAATTAATATTAAAAATAGTAATAACATCACAAATTATAGTTAACAGAATATCTGGATAACTCCCTAATTTAGAACACTCAAAAATATTTATCATCATTTGAATTTTAGAATAATTCTGAAAATCATACTGAATTTTGCTGTTTTTTTTTCGAAAAATGCCATGGATAGTTTTGGCGAATTCTCGGCATCAGATTTACGTAAAGTTTTTCGAAGAAATTTTTCGCCAGTCATCTTATAACAAAAATACTATGCAGAGACTATACACGTGGTTATTATCCGCTGTTTGAGAATTAAATATAAGCTCTTATCTTATTACTAGTAGGAAAAATAATCTAACATACTAATCAATATGACAATATAAATGTTTATTGTAAATCTTTGATAGTTTTTATTGAAAATAAGAAGACACGATCTCGAGGGATAAAGTTTCGATAATATTTTATGCAAAAAATATTAACAAGCAACACTCAAAAATAGAAAAAAAAATACATCCTAAACTTACTCAGTAATTTATGTATAAGGTATGTTAAATATATTTTTTTTAGAAAAAGGTGAGATCTATATCCCGATACTCTGTAAAGACTTTGTGATTTAACCCATGGTGACGAAAAGTGAGATTTGATTTCGATACAATACACAATAATAGCAGGGCAATTAACAGAAATACAGATACAGTTCACGAGTGACGCCCCACGTTACACCCAGGGTCAACAATGGGTTGTACATTGGTTACATTGCTTTTTAGAAATACAACCAATGTAAAAATAATTTAAATTAAATTTCATTTTCAATGTTTAAGATTACATTGCTTCAACATTGTATCTTTTGCATAATTCCCTTTTCTGTAGTAGCAATGCCAATTCAATGTTATCAAGGAAAAGAAAGAAGCAATGTAAAAATGATAAAAGCAATGTAATCATAATACAATGAAAAAAATAAAAATAAATTTAGAACTACATTGGTATTGACATTAGTTATATTGCTTTTTTTTATTTTTGGTGTTCCCTTTCGGTCACCCATCCATATATTTACCGGCTTAAATGTTGTTTGACTTGAAGATCGCGCGTACCGATTGTCACTGTGTTACATTGATTTATAATTTTTTTTCTTATTTTCTGTTAATAAACAGTTGAATTTTATGAACAACAGTTAAAATATTGTTAACAATAAATTACCATTGTTACGGGATATTTAATTAAATAAATATGAAAACAATAATCATCCGTTAACGATGTTCGTTTTTGACATTGGTTATATTACTAGAAACTATTATCAATGTAACCAATGTAAACTCAAGATCTACATATAAAACCTTAATAATCTTACTCTTACATTGCTAATATTGCTATATATTAATTTAACATTGCTTATACCATTTTCGATGTAAGAATGATCTTAGCAATGTAAAATAAAATTTTTTAGCAATGTATCCAATGTAAAAGTTATGTTATAACAATGTAATCAATGTAAGACCCATTGAAATTATTCGACTCGGGAATCTGCAATGCAGCTAATGTGAATTAACGATTTGTCTTTAAATCTTTAGAAAATCCTGTACATACATTGCTAAAATTACTTTATATTTTTTCGATATTAGTTACATCGCTGCAGATGATTAGCAATGTAACCAATATAAACTCAAGACTATAAATGAAGTTTTTAATAACCTTATTTTTACATTGGTAGTATTGTTATATATTAATTTGACATTGCTTAAATTATTTTTATTGGAACTATAAGCTTACCAATGTAAAATAAAATTTTTCAGCAATGTATCCAATATAAAATAAATATTATAGCAATGTAACCGATGTTAAAATCAAAAAAATTTTTCGACTCGGGTCCCTTCAGCAAGAAGTATAGAAAATAAATAAACTTTTTCCTTCTTGAGCGACGAGCGATAAGTATAACCTCAAATTACCCTCTCTACAAGTGAGAAAAGTGAAATACCCTCCACGAAGTTGGAGATTCGAATCACATGATAAAAGCGGAATTCTTTATCGCATGCCTAGCCAAAGAATGATATTCCGCCATAACAGTTAAAAAGTGGGAAAATTAGTTATATTACAAATTTTTCGGGTATTTATCATGAAAGTAAAAAATTAATATAATGACAATAATGACAAAACCGATTTTAAGTGATAGTAAGGATAAGTAAGGTAGATGTCCCTTATTCCGGTGTAGTACATAATTACGGGAATTTTCAATCTTGACCATAAAATAAGATTTTATAACGGACCTAATGTCTCCAGAAATTGTTTTGAGCTTCGAAAACGATCGGTCATGGTCGTACCACGCTTCAGCCATATTTATTGTAGATGAGTGTAAGGTGACAGCACGGTGATCTTAAAAATTTTTTAATTAATAGGTAAGTTGTTTACATTTTTTTGCGTAATATTATTAATGGATATGGATGCATTTGACACTTTCTATTAATTATTATTTTTAATAAAAACGAGTGGTTTTCTGATTCCCGCAATTATGTTCATAAATTTGTTTATGGTTAACCTTATTACGGGAATATAACATAATTAAGAAAAACATGAACGAGTTGTTTTTAATTTTCCCATTCAATTGGAAATGAAACTATTTTTATATTTTATATTAATAGAATCGGTAGATATTACAGATTGTTGTGATGCAATTACGGGATGGGTTTTTTTTAATTTTTTAATCATGTCCCGTAATAAACTCCATAAGTTTTTATTCATGTACCTCATTCCGGGAGCATAACAAAAAATGATATGAAAGTTTTGTTTATTGATTGTTTTTTAATTTTTTAAATCATTCAATGAAATAATTGAATTGGAAATAATTCAAAATTATTTACAGAGTGAGTAAATTTAACTATTTGTTTATTTTTACAGAATAATATGGCTAGAAAAAAATACACGGCCGAAACCTTCAAAAAAGCTGTAGAAGAGATAAACTCTGGAGCATTGTCGATCTACAAAGCTTCACTAGTTTACAATTTTCCTAGTCAAACATTATATGATAAATTTCGCAAGAAATACAAGAAACAAAACTCTGCAGGAGCTCCAACAGTACTCACAATGAATAAAGAAACTATCATTATTGAGTGGATAATGTTGATGGCTAGAATGGGTTTTCCAATAACCAAAGACTTACTAATACATTCTGTGCATAAATTAATATTGAAGCTTAACTGACAAAATAATTTTAAAAATGGACTGCCTGGTCGTCACTGGTTTGAAGGTTTTCTCAAAAGACATCCTGACATCAGTAAGCGAGTTTGTCAGAGTTTAACAACAGCACGCGTCGCTGCAACTGAAGAAAAAATGGAAGCATGGTTTCTACGAGTGCAACAATATTTCGAAGACAATAATCTCTTAGATGTCTTAAAGAATCCATCAAGAATATTTAACTGCGACGAATCAGCTTTTTATTTAAATCCAAAAGTTCAAGCTGTTCTGGCTAAAACAGGCACAAAAGCTGTATACTATAAAGCAGGAAATGACAAGAAAGAATGTCTCACACTGTTGCTTAGTGCATCTGCAGCTGGAAAATTAATGCCTATTTTAGCATTGTTTCCATACAAAAGAATATCAGCAACTTTGATTGCAAAATATCCAACAACCTGGTGTATTGGTAAAAGCGAAAATGGCTGGATGACACGCGAAAATTTTTATGAATATATAGCGAATATTTTCAATCCATTTTTAATAAAAAAAAAAATACAGAAACCAGTGGCATTGTTTTTAGATGGGCATGTTTCTCATTTATCTCTCCACTTATGTCAATTTTAGGAAGACAATGGAATAATTTTAATCGCTTTATTGCCTAATGCTACTCACGCTTTGCAACCAATGGATGTAGCAGTTTTTCATAGTCTAAAGAACGCTTGGAGTAAAGATGTTTATTCCTGGCGTATAGAAAATAATGGTAATCGTATGAAACGAGAAGAGTTTGGGCCGATCCTCGAAAAATTTATAGAGCGTACACTGAAGGACGAAATAATAAAGAATAGATTCCGTAAATGTGGGCTTCACCCATTTGGTACAAATGCTATTGATTATAGTCGGTTTATATCCTCTTCTACTAATTCCAGTCTTGAAACAAGTATTCCATCCAATATTAACTCAACTCCACAAGGTGCTATTAATTTCCTTACAGAATTCGAAAATAGAAAAATTACGAGCGTTCGAAGAATATCCTGCAGAATGGGAAGGAGATATAGAAGATCAAAATTTGTATTACTTTTGGAAAAACATTAAAGAAATTTATGGAAATCAATGTTCTACTATTGATGTTAATTCAGATTCAATGCAATTAAGTGATTCTACAATAAATGCAAATAATTGTACCCTTACAGATATAAATTTAGATTGGCCGAATGATGATATTTCAGTGCTAGAAATGGTCATAAATGAAGATAACACTTTGATACCTTTTTCTACTTCAACAACTACAAATAATATGAACAAAGCTATTGGAAATGAACCTAGTGAAATAAACCCGACAGGTACATCAGAATTTATCTCTCATGATGAAAAATGTTTCAACACAGTGCAAGATCCTGAATATCATGAAAGAATACAATATGAAGTTAATGATAATATAATTGGAATTGAACATAATACCACAATAAACAATGGTGTAAACATCGAAGAAAATGGTGTAGCTCCAAGTTCTACAGGACAATATTTGAGTTCAAGTGATTCAATGGGGACTAAGACGCCTCCATTACAAATAATTTCTAAAGAAACACAAAACAAACCTCAGTCTGAGATAGTCGAAGTACACAATTTAAATAATGGACCACCATCACATTTTCTGTCTCCATTTAAAGATGTTTTCTTCTAGCCAGAAACTCTAATATCTAGTAAAAATAAGAAAAATATTAAAAAGAAAATAACTCCAACGATTGCGTCACATGACGATTATATTAATTATCAAAAAGGTTTAGATCAAGAAAAACAGGATAAGGTTACAAAAACTGAACAACGGAAGAAAGAGCGAGAAGAGAAAAAAATTAATCAATTAGTAGCACAAAAAACTAAGAAAGGTGAAAAAGGAAAGAAAGTAAAGAATTTAAGAAAACTGAAGGAAGAAACTGAAATTGAAAACTTAGATGAAGAAGAAACAAACCAAAAAGAGGAGGACAATAACAACAACTTATGCAAAAGTTCAATCTCATCAGGAGATTATGTAGTTGTAATTTACGAAGAGGAAAAATTTCCTGGGCAAGTGCTTTGAATAATCAACAAAAAAAATGATCAAAAATATGTGATAAGAACGATGACTACGAGTGGCTTTGTCAATGGACAAGTTAATTGGCGTTGGCCTGATAAGGACGACGTTTTAGATTATGATGTCAATTACGTATTAAAAAAAATCAATCCTCCTGTTCCAGTAAACAGAAGAGGCGTTTTTTCTGTACCTGATTTCAATTAATTTATAAGCATCCTAACTTAATAATTGCTTTACTATGGTCATGTTATAAAATTTGAAGAAGTTTATATTCAGTTTATAGAAGATTTAAAATTATTTAATCTTTGAAGAATATCTATTCTCAATCTTAAGATATTTATTATCTAATATTGATAGGTTTCAATATTGCCAAATATGAGTTAATATTCTTTTCTTTGAAAAAAATACCATTATTAATTGTGTTTTTGAAAAAAGCTTAACATTTTTATTTAATTTTAAATTTCATGTATTAATTCTTTTTCTATTGGAGTTTTGTAGACATAAAAGTTAAATAAATTTAATTTTATCAAATAAAATATATCTTAATCATTCACGTATATAACTTGAAAGTGTATTATTTATTTTTATTCATTCATTGTTTAATGCAAAAATGTATTCTACAAAGATATCACGGAATTATGTACATCTTGTCCCGGAATTAGGTTGTTAGAAAATTTTTATCACGGAATTAGAGACAACAATGCTTACCGAAAATTAACGATTAACATTAAATTAAAAATTAAAAACTAAAATACAAAAAAAACGTTCTACGCTAATTTTGCGAAACTACTTTATATAATAATTCAATTTTCATTATTAGAATTTTTGTAAGTGATTTATAAATCAACTTTAACCTACGATATCTCTAAACATCCCGTAATATGGGACATCTACCTTATTACTTAGCTTTTAAGTCAAGATTTTATAAAAATTAAACTTCAGAAGAAAGGATACTAAGATTGCGTTGTCTATTATAGAACCACAAAAACTTTTGACGCTTAGTCTATTTTAATCTTGGAAATTATTGCAATAGGTGGAAACGTATCGAACCTTTAACTGTTTCGGCTTTCTGTAAATACATTTGTTGCCGATGATTTGGATTTTACGCTCGGTATTTCTGGCATTTATCTGAATTTTTTCAGTGATACTCTAAAAGCATTATCAGTTTCTTCTTCATTGATATCTAGTTCAGTGGCCGTAATTTTAAGCTCTATATTACTGAAGAGCGATTGTTCAGTAATGATAAAAATTTTTTGACGACAAATTGTTATAAAAGTGATTTTTTTTGTCAACTTTCCGCCCCTATATATTTTGTATATAAGGGCATCTTTTAATGCCAATCTGAAGGCAGATTAGATTTATCATCTCCTCAAAAATGGCTATCGCACTTTTTAAAAACTTTTTATTTTCAGCTCCGAAAAAACAAAAAACTCTATTCTTATAACTTTTACCCTTACTTTAAAGGTAAAGTTATAACTATGGGCAATTACAATGCACAGTGAACTTCCATATCATTATTTGAAAAATATAAAGCAATGTTTTTCACTAATTTTCAAGCAATTTTTGTAAACAATTTTTATAAACATTTGTCGAAAATGCTAATTGAAGAATGATTACAATAAAAATTTTAATAGCATGTTGTGTAATGTAAAAAAGCGATTCTAAACATGCCTTAATTACTTCGATTTTTTCTGACTGTAATTTATATTTTTTTCTCTGGAAAGCCCGAAACATTGGTTTTCTAAGTCCGCGTTTAAAGCGTTGTACTTTTTTACCTGTTTCAGATAAACGGGTGCTTTGCGAGATTTTTCGTAGAAAATCCGACTCCCTACAAAAATAATATCTTTAATTTTTACCCTATTTATCACCGTTCTCGCTACGTAAGCAATGGAAGGGAAAAAAGGCATGGATTAAAAGTTTAAAATTGTTTGAATAATAGTAATAGTTTATTCTGAGTGAAAACATTTGGCACAAATGCTCTCCTCAGAGACTTTTATAACAATCCGTCGTCAAAAAATTTGTGTCTTCATTGAACAAATATTCCTTAGATATTTTTTTTGGCTACTAGACTAATCTGCATTCTTCATACGAAAATGACCGTTTACTGCTGTGTTTTTCTTAAAGGTATTTATTCAACATAAATCCAAATTTGGTGCTTTTCACACCAATCCTAATTGCTAAGAACGGACATACACTTGCTCAGCGTTTACGTTACTTATATATTCATTCCTGGTTGCATTTATTATGTATTTCTGAGTGTTGCAATTTGATAATTTGTACTGAAAATCTGAAAAAATTCAAGTGTTTGATGATAGATCACTTCAAGTGTTTAATGATTAAACACCTAAGTGTTTACAATATCGAACACCATAAATAAACTAAGCATTTTGGTAAATGGCAAAGAGCGTTTAAAAATCGACTACAATATTACTATAGTTCGTTTATGATGTTTAAAATTGCTCATCTTTCAAATGTTTAGTTTTTAAACACTTGGTTTTGCAGTGCATAAATAGTAGTAGACCTAAATAAAGTAGCTCACTGACTAGCGTGACCCATTAGATCCCTTCTACGGGCATGATGAATTACGTTTATCATACCTGTGTTATATAAAAATATTTATTAATATTCCTAATTAAAAATTTTCTTATTATCCATACCTGTAGAGCCATAAATAAGCAAAGATACCATGGAGGCACATCATCGATGCTATAAGTCAAAGTACTTCCTCGATTATCTTCTTGTTTATCAATTATCCCTGAGTTATTTACGGTTCGTTCCTCCGACCGATTAACGGTTTCATTTGGCTAAATAGAGAATAACAGCCATCTGTAGTAGACGTTTAATTATTTTTCCATAAAATAGAGTTAGAAATTTATTGAAAACTTATATGAATTTGTATGTTTACTATACATCTTGAATAATTATTCTCCTTTTATTCTTGTTATCATGTATTCAAGAAATATGTTAATGAAATAAATCAAGTTATACATAGGTGGGAAACATCGCACTAGATATTAAATAACAATTTACGTAACAACAAAGGGAATGTACGCCAATCATAAAAAAACTGAGTAAAACTTGTTTGCTTAATTATTTTATAGATTAATACTACCTCGTGTTACAAATGTATCAATGTGTCTATTGCCACAAATAATATTTTTAATTTGGAATAATATTGTGAACGACTGAATAAAATTCTGAGATAATAAAAGCGTAATATCAACAGTCCGCAAAATGTCAATATATAAAAAAATTAATTAAACGATAAATCGAAAAATTAAATTGATGCTTTTCTAAAAGTTTTAAGGCTGATCAATAAATGTATTATTCATGTAACTTACTATATAAGAAAGCTCCATACCAATTTTCGTAAAACTCATAAAGAAATAAACAATTATTCTTGGAATCTGGATCACTGAGACTCTCACCTTAAAATAGTTTAATTGTCATATATTGAAATTATATTATATTAACTTGAGTAAATTAAAAAAGAATACAATATATACTACATACTAAATTATTAAAACAAGTATTAACTATTTATTGCAAATTTTTAGATTCAATTTATCTCTTACTTAGTGTGTCTATTTTAAGAAATTTTTCTTTGACTTACTGTATACTAACAGAATAAACAAGAAATAAATTATTACACTGTCGTTTCACTATTCAAACTCCTTTATTTGATTACTTATATTGAACCTTAAATCTTCAACTTAAACTCAGATTTTATCATTCATCTTTAATGCATTGTTTATTGCTGACACTAAATTTTTAATTTGAAAAATTAAACTTCTAGTTCCGATTACGGTCGGACGATTTAACACTATAAGCAATGCTAATGATAGGTTAGAATTATATCGAATTGATAGTTTTTATTTCAATTGATGTGAGTCACATATTAAAACAATGATATAAAAACAAATCATCTTATTGCGTCACATATCATGTCCGACATGAGAATAAAGATGCAGAGAAGGAGAAATTCTTCAAGGACGTGGAGGTAAAACGTCTGAATATGAATATACAAATGTTCTTACATATATGTTAATTGGCAGAAACCGGCATGTTCCATTGTACATAAAGAATATGAGTATTAATAAATTAACAAATATTTAACTTTTATTAATTTATGTATGTGTGTCCATTTTTCAATATATGTGTCTGTATGTAAAAACGTATTGAAAAGTTATTATAAAAAGGTCAATTTGCAAAATTTAAAGTTTTATGATATTTATGTGTTTTAAAGTATCGAGATATGCACTAATTAAGTTTAAAAAGACGTCTAGATGTGTGTACGTCCATATGTTAGATTTTTTTTTATAATCTTTCAGGAATGGATAGTTTTATCGGCGTTAAGGCGCTTCGAGCGGAAAAATATAGATATATAAAGTATATGAACTTTTGTGCACTAGTTTTAGGCAAATAAATAAATAAAATAAGGAAATATTGACATGAAAATATTCGCGCAACAACAATCTATGGAATGAAACGAGATGAGGACGATTGGTTGAAGAATAAGCAAAATACCCGAAATTAAAAGTCTAAAGCGATTTGACAAATTGTTTCTCATATTTCTAACTCCTACTTGTTTACATATAGCCAACCAAAATCTGTCAACATAATAAAATAAAAAAGAAAAACTCGTTGTAAACGAAAAACCCTTAACATATAAAGAATTTTTCATCATTCAGAATTCTAGGAAATTCCAATTTTTTTTTCTAATTTTCAGAATTTTTTACACAGGTAAGTGCAAGAAATGCTGAATGTGTATTCAGAAATTTATGAGAAAACATTCAGTCATTTAACAGTAAATTGGCAATTTTCATACATTTCATTGCTCACGGAGTATGCTGGTGAATAATTACTTGCAATAACTTAACAATTACTTATGGCAACTCAACCATAACGTACAATCAAAATTCACTGGTAACTAGATACTTCTGCTTCTCAAATTCACATGTGTATTTTTTCACGGGGGCTCACAGGTTCGAGTCTACTATAGAAAAGAACTTTAACGTGGAATGTGATTTTTTTCTGGACTACTGATATGCACGTATTATGTATTTTTTCTCTTTAAAGGTGTCAATATGTGAACCATATGCTTAACCTTAGAGACTTTAAGTTCCTCTTTTTAGTCCTAGCCATTCGACCAATAGACAGGGATGAGAGGATCTTCGATAGAGAAAGTGAAAACCTGTGTTTCATATAGAAACAATAACAAAATTTATTAAATGAAAATTATTGAAAAATTATAATAACAATTGAAACGTTACCGACAGATGATTTCTTTAACTCATCTCGAGATGTATCATGGTTAATTCGTCCTTAGTTAATACTTCAGTCAGCGCAGTATTCACTTTTACTCGCGAATTAATTGAAAAATAATTTAACGATCCAATAAACTTCATAAAAAAATTGACAAACTTTAAAATATTATCAATACTATGTTCAAGACAAATAAGACTTACAATTTTAAGAGATGTTCCACGACGATCTAATCTCGATCTTACTTTTTCAACAACTGATTGATGCATCAAACCTTACGTATTTATTTAGGCGAATGTGACATAATTAGAAGTCCTTTGCTTCAGGTGCGCACAAGTCCCTTCGCATGGTCCTTTTCTTTTTTGGAAAGCTAACGCTCTTCTTACGTTACGTACTCTTTTTTTAAAGTTTTATTGCTTTTTCACCACGTGGGTTTTACAAAAGCAATAAAATGATTTCCTCAACTATTCTTCGGAATCTTTTCTATTTTAACGAAATCCTTAAGTTTGATATACACTCATCCCCCCCCCGCGTTAGACAGAAGTGCGAGTGACAAAATTTAATCAAGTACGACGTTTTTAAAATCAAATATTTACAATAAGATTAGTTACCCTTTTATAACTATTTTACAATGTTTCGAAGACCTTTCGGTAGCTCGTTGGTGGCTTTTTTGACATCCTTCTGAAAATTAGTTAAAGTTGAGTTGCCCAATTTTGCGGAAAGTTATTCACTTGACAAATACTCGAGTTTTCATTTCTGCTCTTTGATTATCTATATCTGGATAGAATGGAGAACTAGTTCTAGCTGTTGTACCATCTTCTCCGCATTCAACGTTTATATCCAACATCTTCACATTTGGCAAAAAATATTCATTTGAATTATCTTTTGCTGAATGAACCAATAAGTATATTATTAAGTCCCAGAGAGCTCCTATTAATTTCAATGACCATTTGTGTACGGTATAAGTGTGTAACCATGTACAATGGTATCTACTATTAGTTTACATATGTTCAGGACCATAAACACATCAATGAATCCTGTACTGATAATCTCAAGTTGAACAAATCCTCCCCAGGTCTTCTCCTAGGCATTCTTAGCTATTTTTTAGCGATTCCTAATCCAGCATATTATAAATTGACGGCTTATCTAATATTGATCCTCTTGTTGCCTTTTCTGTAATTGTTTCTAATACTGCTGCCTATTCCCTGGCGAACATTATCTGATTCCTTATGGTTTCTAAATCCGCAACTTGCCAAATGAACGAGATTTTTGTATTTTTCGAGTAATTCTTGAGTCTGGTTTTAGACTCATTGGTGGTAATGTTTCGACCGGTTTTGGCATAAACTTATACCATGTCTGTCAAATTCTATAAAATTGTAATAGTGGCGAATTAAAAAGAATTTTTGCTGCCTGATTTGTGATTATATGAGTTTTTGGTGAGAAGAAAAAACTTTGATTGTTTCTTAATATTGGTATTCTGTTGTAACAAGTTTCTGTACATTGAATCTTTACTTCAACTGGAACACATTGTACAATATCAATAACTTATCCGACCAAGATTGCGATAAATCCAGGTCCTTTCATGAATCTATAGGCGAATAAATCGGGCTGGGTTGATGCAATAGCTAGGCTGTTCTGTAGAGTCTTTTTCTCCAGCTTACACTCATGCATCATTACATCATAATATAATATTTGGAGCTGACAAGCTTTTACTTGACCGAGTGAAGTTCCAATAACCATGAAAAGTTTTGGATGCTCAGTCTCTAATAATTTGAGACCGCATGAGTCCTCAGCTCTAATTACAGCTAATGGAAATGTAGTATCTGTCGCCTGAACTGTATAAATTGTTTCTTTTTCAGTTTCTTATTTTTGAGCTAACCCTTTATATAATGTTGAATATGTAGCCATAGAACAATATCTACGCGCTAATTGATCCCAGAAAGTATGTCCTCGTTCAGGATGTACACATCTACATTTAAAACTAGGAGGTAAATAAATTTGATTAAAATCCGTTTTTATTCGGGCTATTACTGATCATAAACTAACACCAACAGTGCCCATTACTACTACAGAATTCCATGTACCATATTAGACATAATCCATGTACGTGTTATCCGCACCCGAAACATGAGAATGCATTCTACAATAATCGACAATTCTACTTATTTTAATTTTACAGTGTTTTATTTCAACACGATCATATTCATTAATTTGCAGTAAGAAAAGGTTTACCTTTGTTATTTGTACGTTTTCGTCTTCGACATTGCATTTCTCAACGTCTAATAGAGATATCTATACTGTAAAAATAAAATAAAGAAGAAAAGTAATTTCGATAATCGGGATCCTTCTCCTTGGTTATTCGTTTTTTTGACTTCTTTAATTGTTTTTAAGCATTAGACATCGTGATTTTCGACTTTTTTAATCTATCAGAATGAACTATTTTCGGTTTATTTTAAATTACGATTTTCAAATTTCCATTCAGATATATCTCTAAAACTTCAAATGATCCATCATAATAATCACCTAATTCATTAGGCTTTGGACCTTTTTCTAAGAAAACATTATCCCCTATATGTAACTCGATAGGTTTCGTCTTTCTATCATAATATTTCTTTGACGTTTCTTTTCCGAGTAGAATTTATTTTAGGCATGCCTAAATACTTATCGGGCCCTTATTGAGAATTGAATGGGTTAGCGTAAATTAGGCATTCCCAACCTATGCTTGATAAATTTATTTTTAGGATGAAATAAAATTTTCCCAATTTCGCACTTCCCAATAACTTCCCAATTACAACCTTATGAACTTAACTAAAACGATATCGTAGTTCGTCATTTATTAGAAAATGTTTATCAGGTCCGCATTAAGCTAACAAAAATTACATCTAAATTAGGCACATATTACATTATCCTCATTAAAATGTTTGAAGAACGAATAAAGACGTTGTAAGGATGAATTCAAAATAAATTTGTCACAATATAAAGGATTTACATTAAATTAAGTATTTTCTTCAAATTCCAAAAACAAAGTATTGTAATAATAAAAATACCTTTGGATATTCTTTTTCTTTAAACAATAGTTCATTGTTATTATAAAGAATAGTTTTTAATTGAATGAATAGCCGAGTGGGTAATGGCATTGGTCTCAGATCCGTGCAAGGTAGCAATCGTAGGTTCAAATCCACCAAGGTACAAATTCGATCATATATATTTTCGCGGAAATTTAATTAAAATATGTTTAATAATCAGTATTTCATTTCAATAGACACTAGCGTTATATTCCTAATGTGGGCCTAGTGTGGTATCCCATTGGGTGCCTGACTTGAATTTAGGAAATTCGAATTGGGTGCGAACTCTTTCCCAAAAATAAATTTTACTCGGGTTGGAATCTACTAGATTTTCGCAAGCTAATTTACATATGTTCGTTAATCTTTTCACTAAATCTATTATATAATTTTCATGCATTAGTAGACGATTTAAGTTATGCAACGGTTTATTTTTCGGAACACGTGCTACTTTTCTAAAGACAAGTTCATAAGGTGTAAATTTTGTACCTTCATAAACATTCGTATTACATGGTGGAACTAATTAGAAAATATTAATTATGAAATCGAAATCC